ATGGTTTCGAACTCCTGAGCTCAAACAATCCGCCCGCCTCGGCCTCCCAGAGAGCTAGGATTACAGGCGTGAACCACCGCACCCGGCCCCTCTTTCTTAATTTTTTAACACTCTTGTTGAATGATCATCCTCCTGAACTAGTCCTCTAATTTTCCTTTTTATCTTCTATTTTCTCTGTCTATTCCACTTTCTGAAAAATTTCTTCATTTTATATTATAAATCCTCTATCCAATTTTTAAATATATTCAACGACAGTTTTAACTTCCAAAAGCCTGATCTTATTCTTTTTATTTCTGTTATAGCATCTTATTCTTGGTTCAGAAATATCTTCCCTGTCTCTTCAAGAATTGTGCTTTTTTGGAATTTGGAATTTTATTCTGCTCTCTGCAGTATTTCTTTTTTTCAAGCTCCTTTTTATTTTTTAATTTGTTTCATCTTGAACTTTTACATTAGAGGCTGATGATGCTTGGCTATCATTTCATGTTTAAAGTGAGGCTTTAAAAAGGCACTTGGAAGGGCTATGCATGTGGGCATAGCTTGTTGATGAGTAGACCTTATCGAAGGTAACTAGTTGAGGGCCCACACATATCAGTATCTGTGGGCCTTTTTTCTTAGACCAATTAGTTTCCCCTGAGAATTCTCCGACCTCTTGCTTGAGGGTTATAAGCGTGGCTTTCAGTATTTTCGGACCCTAGTATGGGAATTGGAGGGGGGATATCTGTCTGTTCAACATGCAGACTTTTATTAATTCCTGTTTTCAATATGAGTACCTCTCCCTATACTTTTTTGCATCACTTGAAATGAGAGGCTCTAGACTATGCTACAGTATCTCATTTCAACCTTTCTACCTATTTCCTTTTCAGAATAGGGGAGAGGAATTTCTCTGGCTTTGTGTGCTGGGGGAGCAGAGCTAGGGCCTCAGCACTTCTTATCCAGGCTTCTGTGTGACAATCCCCCAGTGTTTTCTTGCACTGTGCACCTCTGCCACCACAGTAGTGGGTGCCTTCCTGGGCTCTGTGGCACAAATGGGTCATATCTTGGTGAATTTGCACTTAGGAGAAGGCTCTTAGCTTCTACCTTTTTCTGCTTTACGTCTTATCTACCATTGTCTCTTCTCCCATTCTGTTTTTCCTTACAGATTTATATGTTCATACTTTTTAAAATTCCTTTCTGATTATTTGAATTGAGTT